TTCCCATCTGTTAGCAAAATGGGAAAGAAGGAAGGTAAAAACAAAATAAGGAAAAATGAAAATAGTTTAAATAGAATAAAATATAAACTAATTTTTAACTGGGTTGAAGAAGGTGGCATGGGAAGAGAGATACAGGCAAAAATTCTTGAAGGAAGGTCTTAAAGGAAGCAGGCAATTACTATAGGTATTCTAGGTGCAAGGAACAGTATGATTAAATGACACAGACTGGGAGAGAGCACCAAGTATATTTGAAGAATGGAAAAATGAGTATTTTGCTAAAGTTGAAATATGTGGAGTATCACATTCAATCAATTATCCAAGAAATATTTATTGAGCATTTACTTTGGGTTTATATGAAGAAATAAACATGGAAGGGAAATCTCAGACCAATGAATGAAGGGTCTTAAAAGTCAGCATAAAAATCTGTACATAATCAGCAAGTACTACTTTGCCACTGAAGATAAGTAAGCAAGGCTGAATGTGATTCATTCTGCACTTCAGAAATATTTACCTTGCAATAACAGATGAAATGACTATACTTGAGGCTTATGAGTTTACTTAGTAGGTAACTATAGTAAGGTAAGTATGTTCTAATTGTGAAAAGTCTATATCTGGATAGCAGTTCCTGTAAAGTGGGAAACAAGGGTCCAGTATTAGAGGAATATCCATAATTTGATACTTGCCAAACACAATATATCGGGGAGAAGTCACAGAAGAAAATGGCCCCTATCTGAAGGAACAAAGTAGATGATATTCTCTCATTCACAGATTCTTTTTTACTTTAAAAAAAGGAAAGTGGTGTGTGTGGGGGTTTTGTTTTATTTTTATATTATAGAAAAGTCACTGTGTAATTGTTCTGTTTGGAAATGATCTCTTTAATGTGAGAGTATTTAATAAGTAGCTTTCTGAATCCTAACCTATGCTTAAAGACCTCTGATTTTTAAAATCCTAGTTTCTCAAATTCTGATTTAACATCCCTGAGCTAATTACAGAACTACTAGTAATCTCAAAAGGTGGGGGGCACACAACAAAAAAGTATTAAAAACTGAAGGATTTTATTCCTAGCATAAGCATTATTAAAACCTAGAACTTTATAAACTGCATAAACTCATATTATCTGCATTATAATTAGGTGTCTAGACATAATTCACAGCGTTAAAATTAGTTCTACTCGCGGGAAACCAAGAGCATCCTTGTTCAAGTATGAAATGAGATTTTGCCTACTTGCAACTCCTTGTTCTCACAGCTGAACTGTCACAGCATGAAAACATTCCCCTACTGGTGAAGCTTTAGATACCTACTTCCCTGGTAAAAGAGTGCAAAAGGAACTGAAAGAGATATTGACAGTTCATGCAGTATCCTATACCACATTAGAGTATTAACTACAGGCAAAGAAAATATTTTAACTCTCAGGGGTGATGGGGCAACAATGTTTTAAATGATTGTTGACTTCACTGAGTAGTGCTGAAAATGTCAAAAGACTGTAGTCTATCAGGTTGAGAAGAGACTCAGGATGTTACAATAATCTAATTATAAGTTTATTTCTTTGTCCTATGTGCTAAGTCAAAGGTTAATGAGAAGTACAGTGAAGAAAACATAGCCCGTGTTATGGCAAAGCATTTCTCATGCAACATAACATAAATAAAACATATCAAAACATAAATAAAAAATATTTGAATCTAGTTCTTCATTAACTTTTGAAAAATAGCTTTATTGAGGTATACTTTACATGCCATAAAGTTTACTCATCTTTAAAGTGTTTAATGATTTTTTAAGTAAAATTACAGTTGTACTACCGTTGCCACACTCTATTTTTAGTACATTTCTAACTCAAATCCATTAACTTGTTGATCTAAGACATTTCCATAAATTCATGGAAGCCACTGATACCTAAAGTTACTATACTATATTCCACGTAAATCTCTGCAACTGAGGAGGAAAAGTGCAAACTAACCCCACTTTTAATGACCTTTATAACCAATTCTCTATTCTGGCACTGGAAGAAAATGTTCAGGTGCTTTCTCTGAAAGTTAAACCATTCTAAGTATAAGTTATGGCACACTGTCTTGGAAAGAAATTAATTATACTTTTGTTGGTAACACATTTCAGGCTGTTTACACAGCTGACATTTCTCAGCTGTACCCAATTCATGCCCCAAGCTGTGAGGACGATCTCGTTTTGTAGCAGATGCCTCCACTTGAGTAATTTAAGCAAGTATAAAAACACCATCGCCTGCAACAATATAGATTACAAACACAAGCTTTATAAGTTTTTGTAGTCCTAATGAAGGAAAGTTTCCATGACATTTACTTGGCTAGGATCTCCTTAGAAGACTACAGTTATAAGCCATTTTTGCCAAAACTCAAGCACTGGAGCTAGTGAATCTGCTGTGGCACCAGTTAAAACAGCCTGGCCCTAAACATCTTTGTTGTAGCAAATTATGCTGCTCAAGGCAACATCCTGCCAATATGGCAACATTTGCTCTTGGGAGGTGTGGGCAAGCATCATTTCACAGGTTCCGGGATAAGGTGCAAACAAACAGGAATAATGAGACAAAAAGAATCAAGCCTCTTAATGGAGATTCCCTCTTGTGTTTGCTGTGACTTAGATACAGCACTACACAGCATTATAGCCTTGTATGGTGAGTTTTAGTCACTTTCCTATTCTCCTGTAGTAATGAAATTACATTATAACTCTTGGTAAAAATGTAAATGTTATGACAATCATTAAAATGTGAGCCTCATAGAAGATGATGTCAACACAATTCAATGATTTAACACCTAAAATGTGTAAAGCACTATGCTACAAAAGAATTTATAGTATGTCTAACTTTGCCTATCACTCTTGGAAATTACATCTGATTAGTCTCTTTCAATCTGGTTTCTACAATGTGGAATCCAAGAGCAGTTTTGGCTTTTCCAACCCCCTATAGTCCCACATTTCAGGACTTTTTTATCTTATGTTCTTGCTCTTAAACCAGACAATTATTTTTCTTTTAACTTTTGATTAGAGATTTTTAAATATATAAAAAAGGTTAGAGAATAGTATAATAAACCCAATATGCACATTGCTCAGTTTTAACAATGATTAATAGATGGCTAACTTGAATTTACTTACATATCCCCCATCACTCCCCACCCCACAGGTTATTTGAAGCAAATCTCAGACCATTTCATTTACTTAAACCAGTCCATTCTTGCTGTGATCTTTTTTGAGCTATGTTAATATTAATTATAAAACTAACTCTTACTGAGTGACCACTATGAGCCAGGTACTGTATACTTATAATTGCTAGTCTTCATAATAACAATGCAAATTAGTTAGGTGACTAAAGCTCCGTGAATTTAAGTGGCAGGCTTGGATTTTAATTATTTTCTTCTATTAATGTTATTATTTTTTGAAGGCGTTATTAGACAATGCTAAGAACATTTCTGATGTATTCATGTCTCCTCAAGGTAAAAAGAAGGCTATCATTTATAAAAATTAATCTCTTATTTTTGTAAAATTAAATGTAGTGTATTTTCTGTCAAATTTCTCACTCTAACAGGGAAAAAGAAAAACAAACCAAAAACCACATCACTACCATTAGCCATGGACAACCAGCTAACAATTCTAATGATATATTAGAATACCAAGGTTAAAATCAGTTTTTTAGAAATAAATGTAAATGCCTATATATAAAATTATTTTTTTCCCTAGAAGGGCTCACTTTTAAAAAAAAGTTTTGCTACTTTCTGATATATTTTTAGTTTAATTATCGACAAAGCATTTTCCAAAAGTACAGTGTTTAGACAGCAGAACACTAAGACTCCAGTAGCATCTACATAAACAAATTGTTTAAAACTGTTTCTTTCTTCCACAAAGAATTCCCTCATATTAAAATGTATAATGACAGTTCTGAAAGAGTAGCAATTATTATCCAGACAGAAATGCAATATTGACTAGAAAATATAAAAAGGTAATTCAATTCTTATACTATTATTTGGGTATCTATTATTACAAGATGTTTACAAAGTCTCAATTTTTTTTCCTTATTAACTTTAGAATTCTTGAAACAATCTCACTTTTTACCTTAAAAAACAATGGGTATCTGATTAGAACAGCCTATGGGTAAAAGTGGCCATAATATAATTCAGTTGGCCTCCTTAGATGATGAAACTTACTCTCTTGGAAAAGAATAATCACTTAGAAATAGGACAGAGATAGGAGAAGTTTGAAAATTTACAACAGGAAAATCATTATAAGTAGATATAATAGGTAAAAATGACACACTAAATCTCTTCCTCCAGGTTTTTATGGTAGTGAAACTTATGGGTATATTTAAGAATAGAGGACTATTAATATTAACTGTAAAAATTAACTATTTTTAAGGTATTTTTAAAAGATTTTATTTATTTATTTTTTAGAGAGACAGGAAGGGAAGGGAAGGAGGAAGAGAGGGAGAGAAACATCAATGTGTGGTTGCCCCTCACGTGCCCCCAACTGGGGACCTGGCCCGAAACCCAGGTATGTGCCCTTGACTAGGAATCAAACCGGCAACCCTTCGATTTGCTGGCCAGCACTCAACCACTGAGCCACACCAGCCAGGGCTAAAAAATTAACTATTTTTAAAGTACAAAAGTATATAACAGAAAATGTAGTTTGAAGATTAAATATGTAATGATTAAATTGACTTTGAGATATCTGCAATTTAGGGGGAAAATTTGTGCTTGAGACATTTCATCAGTAATAGCTGAATATATTTTTTTGATGAAGGAAAAATTTAAGTCAAATGAAGCAACATTAACTTTCTGATACAATATTATCAACAGAATACTTGGCTTATCTGTTCTACAAGCAAGCGCAAATTATTACAACTCTTATTTTCGCCTTATTTGATTTATAAATTTTTTTCAATGAACTATTCAAAACATTTGATTCTGCTTATTATCAGAGCCAGTGAGACAGTAAGGGGCAAAAGGGAGGGAGGATATAAAACTGGCAAGTTAACTGTCACTTACTGAGTCATCTGTGGCAGAAGGTGGCCAGCCCTCCCATAACTGATGGCGAACAGGGATACTTGTAAGGTCATACACGTTTCTTTTTACCTGTAAAAAGAGACAGTGCAATTAAAAATAGGGTTTCCATATGACTTAGGATAGTTGTCAGTCAATTTATGCAATAATATACACTGTATTTCCTCTGTTTTCTTCTATATTCAAAACAAGAATTTGAAATTAGGAAAACACAAGTCAGAAAAATTTTGTAAAAAATCTAAATCAAATTTAAAAGCAGATTCTCAATAAAGATTAAATGAAATTTGCAAATAGACTGATGGCTGCCAGAGGAGAGGTATGGGATTGTGAGAATGGGTAAAAAAGGTAAAGGGATTAATAAAGTACAAATTGATAGTTGCAAAATAGTCACAGAGACATAAAGTACAGCATAGGGAACATAGTGAGTAACATCATAATAACTATATATGATGTCAGATGGAAACGAGATTTATGGGGGGGGTCACTTTGTAAACTATATGATTGTCTAACCACTGTGTTGTATACTTGAAACTAATACAAATAATATCGAATGTAAACTGTAATTGAAAATGAAAAAAAGAACACCCTTGCCGATTGCTTTTAGATATTCCTGGATGGCAGTTTCTTCTCAGTTAAGAAACTTCCAGTACATAACACACCTAGGACAGATTATAATTATAAATTTTAATAATCTATGTAATATTTAAATGACTCAAAATGTAAAATAACCCAAACAAAAGATACATTTCAAGTTTCTACATGGGAGAGAGAAAGTGATTTGGGAGGGGTGGGCAGAAACAGGTGACAGGAAAAATCTGAAGTTTTTGTATTATTTGATGTAAGCTTTGAAACCATAAAAACTTAATAAAGCAGCACAGGTTACTTCTTTGAAACCATCCCAAATAAAGCCATTTCAACAGAATATTTATTAACTGAGAACCATCTACTCACACATATTTAGGCCCCTTCTAAAAAGAAACTACGATAATGATACCTTTTATTTTATTTTATTTTTTAAGATTTTATTTATTTATTTTTAGAGAGGGAAGGGAGGGAGATAGAGATAGAGATAGAGATAGAGATAGAGATAGAGAGAAACATCAATGTGCGGGTGCTGGGGGTCATGGCCTGCAACCCAGGCATGTGCCCTGACTGGGAATCGAACCTGCTACACTTTGGTTCGCAGCCCGCGCTCAATCCACTGAGCTACGCCAGCCAGGGCGATACCTTTTATTTTAAATACTGTTAAAGATGAAAAACTATTTTTTAACATGCAATAAAATATTATACCTTTCACTTTAGAGAGAGAGGAGGTTAAATAATTTATCAGAAAGTGTTGGAAGGTTAAACTCTATGCTATTCACTAATTAGGAAGTATCTCTTCAGTTTTAAATAGGTTACAGAAATACTATTTAGTTCCATATTTTAAAAAATAAATTAGCAAATTATTAACAATGGCAAGATTATTTATCCTAACTCTTCAGGTTAGTTATAGGGTTACCCTATTGTAACAAAGGAAGCTAGTATTGAATGTTGCACATAATACAGGATGGGGCAAAAGGAGGTGTACAGTTGTAAGTATGTGAAATGCAGAGTTTATTCTTATATTATTGTTTATTACTTATCGCATTATTTTCCATGTGAACAACCGTACACCTCCTTTTGCCCCACCCTGGATGTTCACTATGGAAAACAAGCAGTATTCATTCACATTTTTAAAATGCAGAAGTCTAAAGTATCATATTTCCCTATTACAGCATTTTGTATCACATTTCTCTTTGTTATACATAAACACATGTAAGTTACCTTTCCACTGAAATAGAGAGATATATTCACTGGGGAAAGGAAAAAACAAAAACACAATATGGAACTCAATCTATTTTTATCTCTAATGTACACCTGTGAAAAAAGACTTAGTAAGTGAGAACCAAGGAGCTTGGGGGCATGGCTTGATCCCCACTCAATTCAAACAAACAGCTTTTCTTCAGTGGTTCTGAGCAATGGCCAGTCTACCATGCAGTATTTTATGGTCAGTCACTTTAAGTTTGGAAATTTTCAATAGTCATTATCAACACAACCAAATGCAACCTCTGACCACTTCCACTAACTAAGACTATTTTGCCATGCTTAAACACTAGTACTTTTAAGGAGAAGGGTGTTCCATAAACCCAAAACATTACATTAATAAAAGAAAGGGAAAGAATAGGGGAGTATGAGAAGACTTTAGGGATCAAGGCCAAAAAAATTCCTTTCTTAAAATTATTTTTCAATTACATTGTCTAGATACACCAAGGTTCATCAGCTATTTTTGAGGGGGAAAAAAGTACAACAAATATTTGTATGTGTTGGAAAGACTGCGACAAGCCTACCCCAGTATTGGACAGAATACGCAAATACTATGAGTTGAGTATATAAACAAATGACTTTGGAGGAGGATTCTTTAAATTCCACCTCAATTCCAAAACACAACAATATGGTATTATGAAATAAACAGTATTTTTCTTCTTTCATTAACTCATTTGTAACTGCACTGAATTGAATAACATTCCTTTGCCATTCTAAGCCTGAAAAGCATGTTCTGGCTATAGTGTTATGTTGGTATAAAGCACAATGCCAGACTGATGTGCTGAACAAAAGTGATCAAAGTTAGAGTAATGTTAGCCATTGCACAAGCATTTGGCTTCATTGTTGTCCCCAGAATGACATCTGTTAAGCAACTTGTCATAGAATAAACTGGTTAATGCAGGCAGAACTTGGCTGAGAGGGGTACAAAGTAAAGCACATTAGGCTAATGGTTGATTGTTCCAATGGAAAAGATGGTTTCACAGGGATTCTAAGATTAAGCCAAGAGAACCTTGTATTAGACCATACTCACTAAATAACAACCTAAAAACAAATTACTCTTTCAAAAATAGTTCTATTGTTCTCAGTGCTGTAACCATAAGCAGATTTTAACACTGAAACACACGTGATAAGGTAAAAAAAGATACAAAGTGGGCAAAGGTTTTACTAAAGTAGATATAAAAATTCCATTAGTTTTATTGATGGTTTTCTTTAATTAATATTTTAAGTCATTTTCTGCATGGAAGGAAAAGTCTGAAATGTATACAAAGTAAAAGTAAAAATGATGCTTTTAAAAAATACTAGTATTCTAGAAACCCTGAGAGACAAAATACAGCTATATATTAAAATGATGCAGAGGAATTTAAGGTCATCTTGAACCAATGGAGGACAGAGTTCTCTCAGAGAGGGAAGGATGAAGGAACCGGGAGGGAGACGGAGGGAGAGAAGAAGGGCATAAAAGAAGTGGGGAAGAGAGGGAGGGGGAGGCGAGAGAGATTTGAGAGATCACTGATTGATTTGAGAGAGGCAGAAAAGACACACAGGCTGCTTGCTGTAGCTGGCATTCCCAGCTGCCATTACTGTGCTACTTCTGATGGAATTTCATCTTTAGAGATTTGTGTTAAACTCCAGTTAAGGACAAGCAGCACTTCACAGGGTAACATTTCCTAAGGGCCTTTTTGTCTTACACATTTTCTTTGATCAGCATTGACTCAAGATCATGCTGAACTTCATAATCTTTTCAATCCTTGTTATACATTAAGTTCTCAACCTATGAGATTTCAGGCTGCTAAACTGTGCAAATGTTTCAATTAGTTCTGAAGAAATTTAATAAATACTTTGATTATCAGCTAAACATCAAAATTATGTTACAAACTATACTATATTTGGATCAAGTATGCTAGATTAACAATAGATTTTTCCAGAGTTTTCTACATTTGCTAAAAAGAGAATTTCATTTCTTTCCAATCGCTTCAGATGACAGTTGTGGCCAAAATAAAATTTAAATCAGATTAACTTGAAATGGTACAGTATTAATATGGGATTGATTTATTTGCTTTTCATTGTTGATAGATATTTATTTATATACTATAATTAATGTAGAAAGTAAGCAATGATCTCCACTTCAAACTTCACATTTCATCATGGAAATTTCATTGATGAACACAGCACTAGGAAAAAGGTCATTTATGACCTGCTTATTGTAAAGTCATGTAAATTATTCTTCCCCCATAAAGTTTTGATTTCCATAAATTTTCAAACTACTTTTACTTTTTACATTTTATCAGAATTTCTTAGAAAAAATCTTAGGAAGTTATTCTGCTAAACTAAGTTTTGAAGCTCAGAATTAGCCTCATAAGAGTTGTTTGTAGCTCTTCAAACAGAAAAATATAAAACCAGCAGATGACTTTGTCAGTTAGGACAAGATCACTCCTTGTGAGCTAAATGTTGGTTAAACATTTATTCAAATGAAGACATTTTCTGGTAATAGAAAGAAAATCACAAAGTTTGAAATGCAGCACAATGAGAGGCAGAGAACCAGATTTCTTGGCCTAAATTTGTCCAGTTGTTACTGTGGGCAAGTTGGCAGAACCTCTCTGAAACTCAGTTTACTCAGTGCTAGAAGAGAATAAAACAAGATCACTCTGATTTTCAAACCTCCAAATCCTATGATTTTATGAAAATATTGGAGTTAACCCTAGGAACAGAAAAAGAAGAGCTAAATAGATCTAAGACAAGCAAATAATGAGGGAAAGTTTAAACCATTAAGGCTAGAAAATGAAAAGAAAAATAGTAGAGTTCATAAATATAATGCATCAAAAAAGGAAAATTGCAAATATTTCAGATAAGAGGTAAGAAGTAAGACATAATAAGGATTAAGGTGAAATTATTTGTTGGATGAAGAAAAGTCTTAGTTTCTGCTTTTGTTATAGTAAGTCTAGACTTTAAAAATAAAGTCTAAATAATATTTTCCTCTTATGCGATCTTATTGGAAAATAAAGCCTGTCACACTGGTTTCCCAAATAACTATTCCATCAACCAAATGTTATCTGTGAGACTAATACTGGACAGAACACTACCAGCTAAGTGATATATTTATAAAGTTCTATTAATTTATTTCAATATCTTTAAATTTTTGAAATCTGGTTCTGATTCTTCACATATCAAACATTTTAATACAGCAAAAAATAGAAAATATTTCACTGCCATGAGCCTGCAACAGCTATCAT